ATTTAGAGTATTTTATAAACACACGCAGGTTTTATATAAAATTTTTAATTACTTGTGCTAAAAGAACTAATAAAAATGGTATTTTAAAAACATACGATTTGACTTGGGTGAGAGCCAAGCACGAGCACGTCTTCCTCCGCACCACACGACCAAGACGAGACTTGTTCTTCACGATACAATAAGGAACTTCCATTTTACGGCACAGGGAGGGCATGAAAAGCACCAACTAATAGATTAAAAACAATAAACGTTCAAAACGCGTTCTTATGTCGCAATGAATCGGATAAACTTAACATTATTTATTACAAGCTCAGTGTTAATCTCGCGTTATCAGCACACAAAAAAAAATCAGGTGAAGAAATTCACAAAACATCACAGCTAATTAACGAGAGAAGACTAAATATCAAAACAATTAGAAATTTACCTCGATCGGATCAACGTCGTTGGCGATAACTACCAACTGGGCCTTTTTTTGCTCTATCAAGGTCGTGACCGTATTGCACCCCTGACGCACCACTAACTGACGTTTTGTCGGAACATCCTCCTTCCCCGCAGCCTTCTCTTCGGCCCTCTGACGAAGACGAGCCTTCTTGGCCTGTTTCGACTCGGGACGGTATTTATCCAGCAAGCGAAACAACTGTGTGGCTGTTAATTAAAGTAATGCCACTTTCAGTAACGAATCACTACGATAACGTTCGGAACTATTTTAAACTGACGCTATAAACTCGAGTATTAATAATAAAAAAAACTCGTTATTAAAGAAATCACGACAACTTACCTACTTGCCGATCCAACGCCTGTGTAAACTGGTTGATGGGGGGAGGTACTTTAAGTCGCTGATAGAGAACAGCCTTCTGTCTCTGCAAGCGAACGTATTTAGGCCATCGCACAAAGCGGCTAAGATCACGCTTGGGCTGGATGTTCTGACCTGATGAAGAATACAACCCGATTTACGCACATCCATATAATACACAATAACACTTCTGTATTTAGAACATGTTAAAAAACCACACAAAAAAATTGCTAAAATATTTACTCTTTACAAAAACTATTTCACAATCCCCACCATTAAACTGCCAATTTTCTCAAAAACGTGCAGCGAGACTTCCTACCTGAAGATGAAAGCGTCTTTATTAGCAGCTAGGACCTAGCTGGTACGAACCAAGCATCATCGGCCATTTGCCACTGGCATACTAGCTACTCACCAATCCCGAAGTTACGTGGTCGCTTCTCATACAGCGGGTTGACAACCTTCTTCACTTCGGTCTTTTTAGTGGCCAGAGGTGCAGAAGCAATCTTCTTTTTTCCTTTCTTTCCTTTTATCTGTACATATATTCAAAAGTAATACTTTCTCAGGTATTTCACATTCTTTTGGCAACAAATTTCACCTACCAAGATTTTATTTTTGTTTATATAATTAAGATACCGACTTACGTACTTGCATATTAAACTTTAATTTTTGTACTACTTAGTTTATCTAAAGAATAAATGTTTCTTGATTTACTTAGGATCAGGTCTGCTATAACCTATACAACAAGATTTTAATACCGTTCACATTCTTTAGATTATAATTTTATGACAAAAATATACCCCAATATATATTCGGCATTTTAAACTCATAAATTGTCAAGATATTCAATTTTATTTTTCATTCAATATTTTTTGAGTAATTAATCAGGAAAAAAAAAAAACTTATCCCTTCACTTTACAAATTACGTTTCAAGTCTCACTAAAATACTAACTTTTGACTTCGTTCCATTTCTACATATTCTAGTTTTTAAATCATGGTATATTTTGTATTTATAAATTTATACAACTTATCAATCAATGAATCATAAGATAATGAACCCAATGAAGTACAACATCGTTACAAATACAAATGAATCTTGTGGGTAAAACAAACAGGGTATAACTATTAAAAACTATTTATGACAATAAACTGAATAAACTTAAAGCTAAACTTGCCAATTGTCGTCCAATGACTTAATGATAAACCATTGCTTACAGCTTACTAAGCCTGCGCATATGAGCGTGAATTCATACGATTAAGAATAGGACAAAAGAATCTTCTGCCCAGCTTTCTATTTTTTACTATTTACGATTTTTTGTTTCTCTTTTCTTAATATTTCTGTGGTATAAGCACATTTGTAGTAAACAAAAAATATTTGAAATTACATCAATAGTGAAATGTAGCGGATACAAATCATGCGTCTTATTCAAGTTATTGCAAGAGATAGAGCATATCAAATCATTAAATACATCTGTAATAATTTATATCTGCTAACAAATATTCACTTCAACACTTACCTTTTTCTGTACCATGTTGAATTATAATTTCTTTGGAAATGAAATGTAGATAGTTATGGCGATTATTATTGATTTAAATACTACATCTACTTTCCACAATCCTTCGTCAACAGAGAAAGAACAGCGTGTCAGCGATGACTTTATAGGTTCTAATACGAAGCTTTACTTCTTTCACTCTAGGTGACGCTTCGCAAACTGTTTTAGTAAATATAAATTGGCTTAAAAGTATGTTTCATGTAAAACTTATCTGGATGTACCATATTAAATTGTCAATTTTATATAAATGCATGTCCATAAAAATTTGTTTTTGAAAGTAAATTTAGTCTTTATTGTAAACTAATACTGAGTCTAGAGTTTTAACAGTTCTTTAGTTTAACAGATAAAGTTGATATGCTGATAAATGAAGTTTTCATGAATTGAAAAAACATTATAAAATACAGTCCACCTACTTTCACAATGTACCCTGCATTTCCTGTATTATAATAGTCTACAGATTTACTTTAAACTAGGCATTACAAACAGTTAATCTACTGTTCTTAAATCTTCGATGAACTGGAGCCACCTGTAGTTTGGATATAAAGGACTTAAAATTCTCGGTCTCTACCAAACGTCATTTACCATCATTATTTGGAATTTTAAATCTAAACGACCAGATTAGAGATCCTTTATTTATACCTGCTGACCAGAGGAAGGGCAGCAATTGTCATCTACATGAATATTCTTGACCGAATAGCTGGAGTGACTGTCACATTCATAACACTTCCACAGCTGAAAATGAATAGAGTGTTTAATGGCATATCATTCCTCAAACCTTCAACCTTTCTGATCTGTAGTCCAGCAATCTAACCACTAGGTCACGTCGCGTCATTTATCTTTAAATTCCAAGCAAGATATGCATAACAAATTCAACGTCAGTAGTAGCTATTATATCTAAATGATCCTTACACTAAAGCCATTGTCCTGTTATAACACAATAACTTCTCCAGTAACATAAACATAATTACATGAAGCAAAATCCTTTGTTTTGTTTATTAGTTTTAGAACAAAACCGCATTTAGCTATCTGCTGTATGCACCGTGGGGAATCGAACCTCAGATTTTAGTGTTGCAAATCAGTAAACTTAACGCCGACCCACCTAGGAACCTTGTAAAATCTATCGTAGATAACTCATTAACAATATCTGTGCATTAAACAATAAACTTATTAGAAGCGCAAAATCTTTTACAGCATTAAGAACATTTCAATACACGCTGAACTATAACACCCCTCTTATCGCATTAAGGACCACTAAGAATCATATTTAGCATTCACTGCGAAAATGTAAAATAACACTACATACACTTTCAGTGTTTTTGGTTTTATGTATGATGTTTATAAAATACAATTTAGCTACAGGTTATACATATAGTTAGTTTTGTTTAAATATAAATAGAAACTTGATTAATAATAAAATCTGTGGGATCTCCCCCTCCCCCTTTACTTTGTGACATTTTTATGGATCAATTTGTAACCAGTGTTCTACCAAAATTTCACTTAAACCAAAAGTTTGTTGGAGATATGCACCACGTATTCTAAGAACGAGTTTTTATATATAATTTACATACTGTTGTCTTGTCTGCTTTTATTCTGCCTGATGACCCAAACGAACGTGGTCGAAACATGTAGCAAAATATCATTGTTTTGCAGTAATAAATAATTGTGATATAAAATGTGTATGGACTTTTATTAATTACAAATTTATTTTTACTTTTGAATAATGGTAAACGTAAATGTGATATCAGTTAAATCCTGGTAAGTATATTTTTCAATCCAATAAGATTAACATTTTTTAAACCACAAAATATCTTAAATATATTTGCATTGCCCTATTCTTATAAATATACGAGATAGAAAAACATCTAAGTAATTTACTTTCATTAAAAATTCCATATGAGTTAGAAACGCAACACTCCTGGATAATGCGAAGAGTACTGCCAGTACCGAGATCGTTTACTTCCCAAGGGTGTTCACGATCTATGGTAGCAATACAAGGATGAGTGCCTAGGTTTTACAGCCACTTCTTCCACCATCAATGATGTTTTATGTATTAGCTCTGGTTACGAACGATTGCTCTGCAGTGCAATTTCCATTGCAGGAAACTTCTGTGCAACACATTAAAATCATGTTGTTTCTCTCTTCACCTGCTTTACAAAATCCGTCAATCACGTGCAGATGATGGCTTCTGAAGACCCGTTTCAACAACCCAGCGACACAGAGGTTCATGACAGATTTCTATGAAAGGTATAGCATGAATTACCTTTTTCACTGGTAGCAAAACTAGCATGTTGATTTGGATGTGTGGCTGGATGTCTTGTGTTCATGAAATCATTCATACCTTACTAGAATCCAGCCCATAAAAGGACACTGCTTCCTTGTGGTATAAGCACGTTATCCTGATAATATGTAGAAAGTTACCTTGACATTTTTCTCAACTTACCAGTTTAGCTGTAACCTGTAACTACCATAAATCCCATGGAGAAACTTTTGCTATAAATTCTGTTCCATTTTTTGTAATGTTGTATCACTGATAGGACGATATAAATTGCCAAGACGTCTTCAGAACAAATAATTTTGTCTAGTGTGATGACATCCTTCCATTTGTCACATGCCAAATATCACTCGTATAGTGTTCAACAGTTGATTTTCCATTTGGCTGTGAATTTTGTATGATTAAATTCGTGTGAATTATCTTGTTCATAGTTCCAAGATCAGTTGAAAGAACTTTAGTTGCAATGGTCCACGATGCTCTTGGTTACTTCAAGGGACAAGTTATTTAAATTTCTTCACTACTTCTGGAGTGGGATTGTTACCCAGTTGTGTACTAGCTTGATTTTCCTCTGCCAGCATCACACCTTTCCTTTTGTTGCGGATACACTTAAACTACTGAAGATACCCCTTCCTTTAAGTTCTAAAATTTCGTACCTTGTAAGCTTTTTGAATTTCAGCAAAGGAGAACTTTGTGTCCAGCAGTCCTATAATGTAACACTCCTAGAATGGGTCAAATTTAGACTTTTGACTTTGTTTTCATAAATCACAAAAATGACCAAGAGTAAGATGATTGTATAGACTGGATATGGAGAGTGGTATAAATCGCCAACGTAGCCTTAACTATTATCAGTAATGAAAAACATAAATAAGATTGATACAATTTAGTCACTGTGGTATTCAGTTACATTGAGGTTGAGCTGACATGTAAAAAAGTATCTGAAAAATGCAGATTCTGGGAATGTTATACAAACAATAAGTCAAACAAAGACAGCAAAGAAACAGAAAGGCACAAGTTAACAAATGAACATTTTTTTTTATTTTAAGGTTTGTGGATTTTTCAAACTGGTCGCCTTCTATACTGACCATACTGCTTAATAAAGTGGAGGTTTCTCTTACGCACGTGCACATGGAATAGGGACAAAGGCAATAGGAATTCTAATTTACCATTGCAAGTTCACACAAAACATTAATTACGTCATCGTCTATTTTATATAACATTTATATGGGAAGAAAACCTCAACTCATACCAATTTGTACAAGTATCTGAATTACTCTTTGAAATAGGCTCGCCTTCCCAAGGGAGTATAGGCACACGGCATAAGTGATGAGTTTCTAGCTATTGATATATGAAGTTTTTACCCGAGTAATACGACTAGTCCATGTTATGACATTTTAACATTCAGTTAACAATAATGTTACAACATGTAGAACAACTGCACTAAGTATATTCTGTACTGGTTACGGAAGGATAGCATTCATGAATATTTCAGTTATCCAATACTACCACAAGGTAAATCAATTTTTCTTTAACTCATATTGTTTATTTCACGATTTAATACAATGTTCCGAAATAAAAAATATCAGTTTTCAGGATAGTTTTGTTGTGGAAGAATGTCATTAGAACTCAGAAAACAAACGTTATTAAAGCAAAATTTTGGAAACAACATTGTGTCGATTAATGACAATTATTTCATTTCACTTCACTTAATTACAATAAAATAAAAATTATAAGGATTTTTTTATTTATTTCGTAAAACTTATGAGCATCAGAAATAGAACCCAAACCAACATCATTTGTTTTATATCTTCTTAAGTCCTTTATATAAAATCCTTTATCAACCCGAAATCTTCCAAGATGTTTTTTTCTCAATTTTGTTGGTATAAAAAAGAAACAATTATAATTACCATAATTTCATCTTGTGATTAACATGCCGGGTTGTGGTTTGAAGGTCCAAAGTTCGACACACGATATGTGGTGGCATTACATTATCCTAATCTATAGCTGGGTATGTGTCAGATGTTGCTAACCATTTGTCCCCTCTCTCTGGTCAGAAGTTCTAAATTAGGGGTGTGTGAACCTTAAGAGTATCTAATCTGGCTGTTTAGCCCGAGTTTTTTTATAAGGCGTTATTCAAGCTGAAAATTGTTCTTGTTGTATTGTTTTTGAATTTCGCGTAAAGCTACACGAGAGCTATCTCCGCTAGCCGTCCCTAATTTTGCAGTGTAAGACTAGAGGGAAGGCAGCTAGTCATCACCACCCACCGCCAACTCTTGGGCTACTTACTCTTTTACCTACGAATAGTGGGATTGACCGTCACATTATAACGCCCCCCACGGCTGAAAGGGCGAGCATGTTTGGTAGGACGGGGATTCGAACCCGCGACCCTCAGATTGCGAGTCGAGCGCCTTATCCACCTGGCCATGCCGGGCCTAAGCTGAAAATACCATATATGAGCGAGTTAACAGCAATTGATAAAATCAATAGTATATTTTGGATATAAAAATAAAACATAATTAAGTACTGAAACTTCCGAGAACACAAGCAAACTTGACATATTTCAAACATTTTATTTTAAAAATCAACATTTTTCTTGCTTTACATTTTGAGCCGATTTTTTTTTTTTTATTTCTCTTGCTAGTTACACAGGTCTGCGAATTTAAACTTCATAAAAATTGTTTTGGTTTTAATAACGGATTTTCCATAATTCAGTAACGCAGATTTCGAAAATAATATTCATTTTTTTTTCTATCATGTAACGATTTTTTACAAATCGGGAAGAAAAACAAACAAACAATTCTTACTTAGATCATATTATTATTTCGTTTACCACAATGAACATTTGTTACTATTATGTTTGTTAACAAAAATACAAACAAACTGGGGAAAATGGAATAACATTGATATCAAACGAATGTACAT